AATTTTGACAAATGTCTAGCTTCCCAAATGGTTGTCCACATCATCCGTTTCGAACAAAAACATGACGTACCTCATTGTCATCAGTTCTTAAACACCCAATCTGCGATCGTGCCCCCGTCATCTCGGCGTTTCTTCCTCCATGCTGCTCCCACACGTTCGCGAGGGATGTTGGTCATAATCACGAGACCTTGGTTGGTATATACCTGGGTCTTTTTCTACATGCTGGCCCTGGTCCCTCCAGGTCTTGAGCCCGGCACCAGGCGTTGCTGTAAATCAACGCTTCATATCTGGGCGGCCGCGCGTCAGCCCCGAAGAAGTCCGGGTCCAGCACGTCCTGATGCATTTCCCGCGCAGGCCGGCGGAGGGTGAAAGCAACACACTGCAGTCATTCAAGAACAAGATGGAATCGTAAAGAGGAAACAATCCCGACCACGTCACTAAGGGCTCTCCTATGCTCTCCTCCTCTAATTTGTTGTGTTTACGTTTACATTGTGTTCGTAACTCTGGGGTACCCAAAAGACTTTCCGGCATCATTTGTGTACCTCCGCGTAAGCACCGCGGCACGGGCTTCGTTGTCGCACCTCGCGTGTTCAGGCTTCCGCGTATACCTCGGCGCTCGCCTCCAAGAGGCACGCCAGCAGCCAGAAGGCATCTTCCTCGATCCTAGCCTCGTGATGGCCAGGAGCGTTCCCCTCGCTTCACTGCGTGGCCATGCGATGACCATCCGATTTTTTTCAAAGAACCAAGACTTCGAGACTTATTTGGTAGCAACACAAACCATCACAAACCTGACAAACAACAGTTGGTCAGATCAAAGCTCTGGAACCATAGTAAACCCTCTGTCAGTAAAACCCTCATCTTCACCTCTCTCCCAGCCTTTCCAGGTCTACTCACTCAGCCTCCGGGCTAAATGCAAGTCCTGTAGGCCCAACAGTTGAGGTTCACCCGAGCTGATCGCCAGCAAACACATGCCCGCCATGCGGTCCAATCCTGCAACCATCTCCCGGCGGACCGCAAAACAACCGACGGAGGACCGGTCAGGGCTGGTCCATCGGGCGACGGGGGCCATCCATGTTCAACCCTTTCAAAATCAGATCCATTGATCGATGAAATGGCCGAAGACCAAACAGGTGGTGGTTTTTGTTCACGTTCCCTTTGATGAACAGTTTAAGGAAGTTCTGCCTCGTCTTGCAGCGGTCTGGGGTTGGGGCTTTGGGGCTGGTGCAGGCGGGTGATGCGAGGCTTCGAAAGTGCGTCTGCCTTGAAGTTCCGCCTCAAAGTCTTGAAGTCCTCCAAGCCCTGTCTTCAAGCCCATTCAGCCTTTGTCCCCAAGTCCTTGCTGATAACCTGAGAGGATGCCCCTGCGCGTGCAGATTGCATCTGGTTTTGCGCTTGTGTCGCACCAACCAGGAATGGCCCATCTGTTGCTTTGCGGCTTAAACAAAAACACACTCTTTGGATGGGTATTGTTTCATGACCATGGACACAAATGGAGCCCACGTTGCAATTCACAAGGTTTTCCAAAGACGCTTTGTTGTTTCCAAACATGCTAGCGAAGGACAAACGAACCCAAAGCCATGAAGGTTTAGCATGCGGAACAATTTGGGATCAATAGCCATACTGGCGGGATGTCTTTCTTCCAGCGAAGAGAGGATTCTCCAAGTCGATCTCAGGCTGATATATTTCTGCCAAACGCGTTGGACAAGAGCACCTAAGAAGCGATGAGGGGAGGGGCATTGGGGCACGTCCTCTAACATCCCAATGAGAATGCGTCTGTTGCTTGGACGAGATGTTTGAACGAAGTGAATGAGAGTGGATCCACTCCTTTCCACACGTGAATAGTGAATCGAGGTCCAGCTCCAGACCAGCACCTCTTTCGTTGTCGGACAGCACGGATGTCTTCAACATCGCAGCCCTGCCCTGCTATCCGTGCGACGTCCCTTGGTTTTGTTGGGCAAACGACCAAGGCTTGGGAGATTAGCTTCAGCAAAGGCTGAGCCTGCTACCATGTTGTTCCACCCACATGACGTGCTCGCAAAGCCAAAGAGCTTGCACCAACAGTCGTGATCTGTTTTCGATGGCACTGGAATAAGATTTAAGTTCTTGGTGTTTTTTTCCACATCTCCAAGGCATGGTGCACAATGCAGGAACCACTCCCACTAGGTCCTACATCCGAAGGTAGAAACTAAAAAAACTCGTGGCATACACCCCACTCACATTCCCAAACTGCTTCTGAAGAGGTATGCTAGAAAATCATCAGCAGCTATCCCATCATTGCATACAACATGTCAGGCTGGACAGCTCCTAGTGTCGACATTTAGTGAGGTGAAGCGACTAAGCCCTGCGGATGTTGCACAAGAAACCCTGGATCCAAGTATTCAGCAGGTAAGAGATAATTAGGTGTTCCACCAATCTTCTTTTCATTGCCACATACATGCTTGAAACCGATACACAAACTATCTTGACCGTGGAATCAAATCCATGTGTGCAACCTGGCCCAACCACATTGCCCTTCATGTCGAAGAATGTACACATAGGTCGCGCAAGTGCGCAAGAACGAATTTAATCATGACTAATCGGCTAATCTCCGAAAACGTCGCTGTCATGCGCACAGCGTCACCACATCACACCTGGCCGCCTGAGCGTGAGCCTTGTCATCGATATATCGGAGGAACAAACAACTGCTTAGTAACCGTAGATAAAAACCCAGTGGTTTGGTGTATAATTACATGTTGTCGGTGGACATGGTTTTGCAAACAAACACCGTATAGAGATCGAAAGCACTGGTGAAAGGTCTGTTGACATGCTCTTTGCATCTTGCAGTATCCTACTTAGCTTTCTGCGACACGAGAATTTAAAAAATGAACAATATTGAACAATCATAATGATGTCCGAATGACAATACCCTCAACAAACAGGAACCAAACCATGTTCATTCCTGACCCGTGTTACCCATCGACCAAGACTGGTCGGCTCACATCTGTTCATGTTTGAGGAAAACCATTAGCATTCCCAGTTCTTGACCCACACCCACATAGACTCCAAAACCCAAAACTCAGCGAACTTCCAAATGACTCGACCTTTCCTTAAAATCTGATGGATTTGACCTTTTCCCCCAAAAAAAATGGGTCGGCGTGCCATACCATGCTTTGTCTATGGTTCCATCGATAGAGATTTTGCAATTCAAACATGCTGGTCTGGTCAAGTCGTTCGTCTGGTCCAAGCCTATGAATGGGCCTGAAAAAAGCGTGCTGCAACCAAAGATTTCCCTTGGTTTGGTGTTGGCTTGAGAGAAACATCAACACAATGAAAGGGTTTTTAATGCTTCATCATAGAACCAACAGGGAAGTCAGCCCCAGGTTGGGGAGCTGCGTAGTCAATCAGTTCATCACTTGTCAATGAGCATTGAGCAAAAGATTCAATTCAAGGATGCTACCCCAACCAATGGATTCTGCACCATTCCAAATAGATCAGCATTCAAGAGGGGCACGATCTGGCTGCGAGTTGTGCTGTGGCTGGCTCTTGACAGAGCAAGTTCATGCAACCGTAAACGACTGGCGCGACCTCAAGAGAAGAAACCAGTTCTTGTACAAGAATGCGTCTAAATTCTCTTGAAACCGAAAGAAGCAAAAACGCCCAACAAATCTATGAGGTTATGCTGCAAATCACTTAGAACATGGTGGATTGATTCATTCGGTCGTGCCGCTCTGGTGAAACCAAAAGGTCCACATACCTGGCCAGACCCTGCTGCCTGGGATGAGTAGACCCTGTGGATCACCCAAAGAGGGTCAGGCCCAACCTCCAGAAAATCTACGGGAAACCCATCATTTAGAGAGTGAAGATATGATTTGTGTAGACTTGTAGACATTCCCTTCAACTAATCCATTGAAATATGAAACCCCACAGCAAAACACACAAAAAACAATTGAGAGGTGGTAACTTGTCGAATTTTGTGCCGAAGACTGGGCCACCTTCAGAACACGAATTCGGATCCCGGCCTCGGTGTTTCACCGCTCAAAAGAATCAACAGTTGTCGGTAACCCAATATCAATATAGTTTCGAACAGCGGATTGATAAAACATGTGCATATTGCATACACATACTTGCTTATGGAGTTCAGTTCATCGGCGTCGTGCATGGTTTTCTATGTCATTATGGTCATCAACATCCATCTATATAAAGAACCATGGATATCACATAGGTTTGCCTGAAGAAGTGGTTTCGGTGGAACACACCGGGCTGAGACCAAGTGGATCACGGGCCTTGCACCGGGCAAGCGCGGTCGGCCGCGGTCCGCTGCTCACGGATTCGCTGGACCTGGCGGGACGCCACACCTTCACTCCGCTGGTAGGAGGAGTTGAACAACTGCCAGGCAAGTCCACGTGGATTTGCAAAAAAAAATTGGCAAAAGGATGCCAAAATTATATAACACACCGTTTCAGATTTTTGGACTGATAAGATCCATACTGTGAAATCTATGAATATCCATGTGTACCGTATCACCCGGCCGCGGTCGCCCAAGAAAGAGGAGACCAATGGAAAAAAAAAAACAACCTGACCTGCCTTGCATGGGTGTGTTCCGAAACCACGGGGCCCACCGGACCAGGTGTGTTCACGCAAACATACCTGAAACCAAGCTTAGCCTGTCTCCAGCCCATGGGCAGGGTCAGCAGAAAAAACACACCGGGCATGTTGGGTTGAACGGTTGACCGTGACATCATCCTGAAGACAGGTGAGCTCCCGACTGTGGCTCAGTTTCTCTTTTCTTGTCTCCATTTGCAAGCAGGCCAATTTCCCCTGACTTTGGAGAACTATCATCTTGCACGAAAGCTCCCAAGGCCAAAGGCCAAAGGCCTGCTCAAAATACAGTCTGCTCTCACATTCGAGAAGCCTGACGTGGGCTAAGTGTGTGGCTCGCACAAGTAACAAAGTCTTGGATCGGGCGTGCTCTCTGGAGACCGTGGGGCCGCAGCAGCGTGGCCAAGCATGGCATTTGGCCATCACTGGTCCAGGAGTTGTGTCTCAGCAAACTCCTTGAACAAGGCGATGAGGAACTCCTTGAGCTTTGACCGATTCCGCCATTGTAGCGCGTGGATCTGATACCTCCGGTGCAGGGCAGGGCTGGTTTTGGTGAAATCTTCACAGTGCAGCTATTTCGCTCACTGTCCTAGGAATGATCTTCCGAGCGCCTGTCCCCGAGTTGTCAGTTGATACTGTATTAATGCTGAAAGAAAACACCTTGTTGACCCTACAGACTCGGCGCACCCTCCCGGACTCTTGGCACCTCATAGCAAGGATGGCCACGACGGCTGGCCACAATTTCGCGGCTTCTTTGGCCACTTGGAAACATGGCTCGTTCTGCCCCTTGCCACACACCTGCAAGGGAGAGTCCCAAATTGACCAACATGGGCTGGCTCTCTATACAGGAGTAATGCGTCATGAGGCCCAAGCAGCTAAACGAGTCATGGATACTTCTAGTTCTGCGTTGCTTCCAAATATGGATGCTCGAGAACTGGTGAAGGAAACCGGAAGCCCTCAGAAACCTTGGAAATAAAGCTCAACGTTCTGCCACCCGGATATTCGTGGCCAAAAAAAGGCTCGGCAGGTTATCCACTTTTCCTGGGTAGGCAGTCCTGCTTGGCAGCAACTTCGAGGCCCTCGAGGAGAAGCACCTTGTGACCAGGACGTTCCAACCGCAAACTCTTCACGATAGCTTCTGCACAGCCTGCGGCCACTTTGGCAAAGTCCATGTCGCAGACCTGCAGCGTTTGAAGAACGTGCCTGAGGACATATCAATAGACGAAGTCATTAAGGCTACTGCCAGGACGGTCTGAAGGTCAGGAGTATGAAGTAGCGTGAAGTATGATGATTTGCAATGATATCACCGACTCAGTTACAACTAAACACAAAATGTTAGAACAGCGCTCCACGGTGCCTGCTGCAAGGCACGCGTGAGAAACTGCAGCAACTGAGATCCACCCAGGATGTAAATTCGAAAAGGCGCTGACTTGAAAGCAGTGAAGTCACCAGTTCCCAGTAACTGCGCTTGCACTTCCTCCACACCCCTGCAACATGGTTTACAGTCTTCCACGTTGCAACCAGTCGCTTGAGGCAAGGACTTGATGTCCTCAGTTCATGTGCGGGGATGTTTAGAAGCTTGGATTAAGATTGGGATGGGGTTGGCCCTCCTGCTGTCTGACGACATGGCGCCGCAGCCACGCCAGATATCAGGTTCCGGAAACTTTTGCTCATAATATGAGAATAACGTCACAAACAATGGCCCCGCACACACACACACAAAGACACACCCGCCCACACACCACTGCCACCCAATTTACCAGGCCGAGTGTCTTTGCCGATTCCTGTTGTCGCCACCAGTGACAGCTTCGTCTCAGGTGCGTGTGCTGGGCCAGTTTCGACACCACTTTGCGCAGTTGCCGCTTGAAACAACCGACGGGAGGCGTTGGCCGCAGCGGAGTGGGCAGAAGTGTCTCCTTGAGAATCCGCATCCATCGACAGGAGAAGCAAGGGTGCCACAAGCAGTTGTTGCTGTGGGACATCTGGACATGAATCATACGCCAACCGCAGTTCATCCAAGGAGAAAAACCGCCTCCCAATGGCTTCCTGATCTTCTGTCGACAGGCCCGCAGCATGAACGAAGGCCAACAGGTCACTATACCCCCGATCACTCCTTTCAGCAGCCTTTGTCACTGCATCCAGTGGGGCCTTTGGACAGGACGACGTGTCTTTGAGCACCAAGCTCCATGAGGCCAACCAGTTGGCTGTGTCCATGGCGTTTGCAGTGAGCAACACGAATTGCCTTTGTCTGAGCACTAGCCTTGCCAGGGTGACTGACCTTTTTCAATTCGAAAGAAATGGGCAAATCTACTGAAACCTTATACTTGACACAGTCATCTGCTTCCCATTCAATAAGTTCGCACAGATTTTTGGCAGGTGCTCCCCACTTGATGCCTCGCGAGGAAACACAACACGTCCGCAGATTCCCGTATGGCAGGGTCAGAGTGGCCATGCGAAATGGGATCTGCACCATAGGCCACTTGATGATCTGCAGTGGAGATGTCTCCTTCCAGAAGCAGAGCGCTAGGAAGACAGCTGGCACTCAAGCGCCGCAGTTGCCTCAAATGGTCACCCTTTGCGGAGCGGCCGACTAAGTCTCGCATGGTCTTGCGCTCAATGCAGAGACCAACAGCTTCTGCAGAGCGGGTCCACATGTAGTCACCTCAGGTGCTGGGCTGCCAAGGAGAGCATAGAGGAGTGGAAGTGTAAAGCATCAACGCCAACTCAAGGGCCCTTGCAATCGAAGGTACCATTCACATGAGAGTACGAACCATGAAACTTCTAGTTCATGGAGGAAAAAGGGCCATCGATACAACTTTCGACTTCGGTGAATTTCGCAGGCTGCTTCGGCTTGGATTACCTAGGGGGGCTGAGTAATCCTGACTTTACATCATCGCTGCACAATGCTGCCGGTTCTGCCAAGAAGCCCATTTTGAGCTTCACATGCTGCACGGCCGCTGTATTGTGGAGCCTCTTTTGAAGCTCCTCAAGTGGCGCCGCCCATATACAAGCGGCGCTCAAACGCGTTGCTTCTGCATGGTTCTACCAACTTGGTGGTGCTCTGATTTCACATGTCACATGGTGCCTTTAAGATCCTTTAGGCTGGTTCCGCAACGGCCCAAACTCTAGAGTGGTTAAAAGCTCCTCGAATATGTCCCTTGGGGACAGGTCGCTGCGGCGCTCGTGAAGATCCACCGATAAAACCTTAACTGCTTGACGCCGCCAGCCGGAAGTCCACATTTCAATGATTGGGGACACATGACAAGATTATTGCAAACTGAAGTGACACCGATGCAGACTTCTAGAAAAGATCTTGTTCAACTAGTATCAACCAACAAGTACTCTGTCTCGCTCCCTCTCTCTTCCGCTTTAAACCGCACCAGGAACCAGCTGATCGTCCTCCAGGTCCATGACGCCTCACCGGTGGCGATGCTCGGCGGCGCCCTTCGTGGGCGTGTGCGGCGCGTCGATGTGTGTGTGTGTAACCTTTGCTTTGGAGTCACAAGGTTCCTTTTGGATTGTTTCTTCTGCTTCTTCATTTTCTTCTTCAGCAGGGGGACTAGAGCCGATTTGCCTATCCAGTCCAACGAAGCTATGGCATTTCGATGGATGAGTGGACTGATCAACCACTTGTACCTGCATTTCTGACTTGGAATTGTCCATTTGGTCACGTTGTAACTAGAACAAGTGTACCAGCCCTTGCGTCTGTTCACCATCAGCAGTCACGCATTTTGAGCTTGGAGGCCTGCAGGGTTCTCATCGTTTTGCGGAAAGTCTGTTGGTGATGGCTTTTCCTGGAATCTTAGGTTTTTCACTTAGGCTGGCGTGTGGCCAACCACAACCAAATCACCACGCATTTCTGTAAGTGTGTCTGGCTTCATGACTGCGCGGAGTGGCCCCTGTGGACCCGTCGAACGGGGGTATGTCCTTATCTCCCCTGCCCGGAGATGTACGTGTCCAGAGCGGACAACAGGAGGCTTAAGCCAAAGTCATTTGCCAAGACCTGCCGGATTATTGAACTCCAAGGTGGAATTATGCCTTTACGTGACCGTAGCGGTCTAAGCTGGCTTAACGCCTCAACGTGGTCAGAGCGACCAAAGCCATTTTGAGGTTCATTGGAACCTGTCCCACTCTTAGGTGCACACACAGCGCATACATTCAAACGAGGCGAGGTCCCCTAGGTGTTTCTAATGAGGTTTGGTTTCGTCGGTTCTCGTCCCCTCCATTTGGCTCCCTTTTCATCCTTTTTCCCTTCACACACTTATGTTTTCCTCTTTTCTTTCATGTCCTCCTGTCTTCATTTTTTGTCATCTCATCCTTTCTTTCGTTTGCGCGTACATCGGTCCTGGCCTTAGTGTGTACGTGCACATCTACATTTACTTTCAACCCAGGTTTAGGCCGCCCAGGTCTCGACAATGAGGTGGGGTTCATCGATTGTCCCTGTGCACTTGGTTTCTCTTTCATCGCAACCACACACACTTTTGCCCCGTCTAGTCCTCCTTCTCGTCTTCATCCTTTTTGTCTTTGCTGCGCGCACACTTGCGCGTTGGTCCTAGCCTTAATTCATTTTGTGTGTGTGTAACCTTTGGAGTCACAAGGTTCCTTTTAGATTGTTTCTTCTGCTTCTTCTTTTTCTTCTTCAGCAGGGGGACTGGAGCCGATTTGCCTATCCAGTCCAACGAAGTGATGGCATTTCGGTGGATGAGTGGTCTGATCAACCACTTGTACCTGCATGTTCTGACTTGGAATTTCCCACTTGTACCTGCATGTTCTGACTTGGAATTTCCCATTTGGTCCCGTTGTAACTAAGAACAAGATGACCAGCCTTTGCACCTGTTCACCATCGACAGTCACGCATTTTGCGGAAAGTCTTTTGGCGATAGTTTTACCTGGAACCTTAAGTTTTTCACTTAGGCTGGCGTGTGGCAAGCCGCAACCAAATCCGCATTTCTAGTGTGTGGGGGTGTGACTGAGTCTGGGCGATCCAAGGGGGGTCACCTCACATGGTGATGAATCAAAAAATATGCTTCGAGTGATCCCCACCATGACATTTCAATCTGACAAATTTCAGTTATTGAGACATTATTTCGGCAGATTTTGGTTGATGCGAGGGCCGCGAGGGTTGTGAGGTTTTATGTTAGCTGCCTCGCTGTTCGCCTCTCCTCCTCGCCTGTCCTACTCAACCGCAAGTGTCAGATGGCAATGTTCCCTGCCGGACCGCAACCGCAAGTGTAGGACCGCAGTCAGTGTCCCCCCCCAGACCTCAACCGCCAGCTCCGGACGGCAGTCTTTCCTGGCGGACAACCGCCACCTCCGGACGGCAGCAGTTGAGCTGCGGATGGCAGTGTTCCCGCCGAACCTCAACCGCCAGCTCCGCAAGGCAGTGTTCCCCGCCGGACCTCAACCACAAGTCAGAAGACATGCCAAATAAAACCACAGAAAGAATGTCAGAAGATATGAAGAAGACATGCCGGATAGAATGTCAGAAAGAATGTCAAAAGATATGCCAGAAAAAATGTCAGAAAGAATGTCAGAAGATATGCCAGAAAGAATGTCAGAAACAAAGTCAAATATATATGCCAGAAAGAATGTCAGAAGATATGACAGAAAGAATGTCAGAAGATATGCCAGAAAGAATGTCAGAAAGATTGTCAGAAGATATGCCAGCAAGAATGTCAGAAGATATGTCAGAAAGAATGTCAACAGATATGTGAGAAAGAATGCCCCGGCCGTTGAGGTCCGCGCGGAACACTGAACACCGCCATCCGGAGCTGGCAGTTGAGGTCCGGCGGGGAACACTGCCATCCGGAGCTGGTGGTTGAGGTCCGGCGGGGAACACTGCTGTCCGGAGCTGGCGTTTGAGGTCCGGCGGAGGACACTACCGTGGCAAGTGCGTTGTCAACACCCTTTTATGGTGAAAAGGTCAGAACTCTCTCTCTCTATATATATATATATCTATATCTGTCTATATATATATATATACAAATATGTAGCTGTACTGGCACGCGACAATCGGATCGATGGGTCTGTGTACAGTGTGCGCTTGGAAACCGGGCGCAGCCAGTGCCCTTGGACGTACGCAAAGCTGTCACGTTTCAACAGGGTAGAGCAACTAGTTAGCAGTAACAGTTAGCAGTCACCGAAGAAAATGTGACTACAACTTACATCAACTTACTACGGCTGGCGGTGTTCGAGTGGTTCCCCTTTGTCATTCCAGCTCCCTCCGCGCCAAATCCCGAACCCTGCAAATAAAATTGGAGGTGTGGGATGACAAGCCCCTCGGCACCAAAGTTGGCCAACAAAAACTCTGGAGTCTCAACGGATGAGTGTCTCGAAGTTTCTCTGCAACCAGGATGCTTGTGGAAGCAGACAGTCGCGCGAAACGTGCTGGGGGAGCTGCTTCCTCAGTGGACAGGCGCAAAGCCTCCTCAAGGTCTTTGTCCTCTTGGTTGTGAGGACGACTCTTGAGCACTTCCTGTAGTGACGCCTCCATTGCCCGTTTCATCTCCTCATCCATGTCAGAGTCACTGTCAGAACTTGATGAAGAGCTGCTGCTCGCTGGCCTGGGTGCCATGTGGGAAGCGTTCTTCTGCGGCATTGTCGATGGCTGGCTGATTCTCGGCTTCTTCAGCCCACGCGTTGATGCAGCTGACATACGCCGTTCGGCAGCCATCGCAGATGCTTCCCTCTTTCCATCGGTAGACATTCGACCCCCCAACTTCTGACCTGGACCAGCCGCACATGGCGAAAATATGCCGCCAGAAGGAGGAAGGTCTAGCCCTGACAAATTTGGCTTCGCTGCGAGATCGTGTCCGCTCTGCCCAACTTTTGTCACGACCAGCGTACGTTGCCTTCCATCCCCTCTTGAAGCATGATGCAATCGGTAGCCCAAATCCATTGCATTGAGCATCTCTATCTGGTTGTGCAAATACTTACGCCGATCTTTGGAAACCTGACACGCTGAACTAAAGCCCTTCCATCTTTAGATGAACATCGCGACACCAAAACCACGTTTTGCTCATCAAGTGAATGAAGTCTTTTGACTGACTGACAATTGAAGTTCCTTTCTCGTACCAATTCGGAATTTCTATTTTGATTTTGTGTTTGAAGATGTAGTGAGATTGTGCCTTGACCCTTTTGCTTGGTTGTTGTGTTGTGCTTCTGATCCTGGCATGTTCTCACTCATGTTCGATTTGACGCATTTCCAGGGCCAAGCGAGCCCCAGGTTTAGGTCGACGCTCAAGCACCAGACGGTGCGCACACATGTGGGCTTGGGGGAGAAAGTCGCGAGATTGATTGACTGCTTACTTGTGATGCTGGGTTGTCACAACTGTCACCCAACTTCACTGAACATCTCCCCAAAAAAAAGTGCACAAGCCTGCCTGGAACTCCTTTTCAGCTCCATCTGGTGCAGTGGAAGCCCAATGCTGCAAGGCATCGAAGTCTTCGGGTGACTTTTTGGTCCCTTTGACCACACGACTCATCAGAGGTGCTGGGGCATCTGGCTCACCATCGTCTATTTCACCAAACTTCTCCAACATCTTGGGCACAAAGTCTCTGCCAGCCTCAGGTTTGGAGTTTAGATGAGTTGACTCGAATTTTACTTTCATCATTGGCCTCTGTAGTGGAATCCCTCCTGGCCAAAAGAACTTATCTAGTGCCACTTAGTTGAATCGGTCTGTCAAACATTCCCACACTTCTTTAAAACAACATGACAAAGTAATTCAACACGGTTGACCCTCGCCACCCTTAACCCTCCGTGACCCTGCCGCCCACCTGAGTCAGGCTGATTCGATCCTTAGGGCCTCTGAAATTGCTCCTCCAGCTCTTGCCAGCTTTGTCTCGTTCGATGAAGCGGTGCGACAGCAAAGACTTGTTGGATTCCCAATCGTGACCATGGTCCCGACCCTCAAAGTGGTTGTCTCTCATCGGCACATCACAATACCGTTGACCAAGACGACAGATCTGATCTTTCGTCAGGAATCCTCGGGTACGATATCAAATCAAGTTCAAAAAGGGGAAAATTGCGATGTCAAAACCAGCTCGCAACAACAACCATGTTTACAAGAAATTTGAGCACACGCTTCTTCTCCATGGCAACCAAGTCACCTTCATAGTTGGGCGACTTTTCCGCATCCCACAGAGCTCTCAGGATGGCATATCCACCGCCTCGATGCTGCATGGTTCGGAGATACGGATGCTCCACTGTGCCAGCGGGTACTGCAGGTCTAATCACTTGTGGTACTCGGCCAGAGCGCATGATCCTAACAAGTGGCAGATCAATGATCTGCAAAAGCACCGGATGGCACATACAGTATCAGAATCTAGCATGAAGGCGTGAGCGCACTAATCTTGAAATATATAATGTCACTGCCAGTTTGCTTGCATCCAATTTCACTGGAGGAAAACACTTAGAACACTGATCTCATGTGGCCAAAATGCTTGCGTTCCTTTGAGTGCTGCCCTCCAACAAGCCAAGCATCTGCTCACAGTACTCTCTGGCCGTCTTGCGGAAATCGGTGCTCTCCTTCGGGAGGTTTTGCACCGATCCAGTCTGCGTGATCTTAATGTCCTCGGCAGAGTAGCTGATGGCTAGCAGTCAAGGTGGCACATTTCGCATGCGTTTCGAGTCCCACTACTGAGCATTGGAAAACACATGCCAGCCAAGCGGGTGGGACTTGCACTAAAGTAGTGAGTCTAAAAATTCCAAGTCTGGTGTCATGGGAAGCTGACTGTGTTCTTTCATTGCGAGTCCTTCAGTGGAACACACCCATCCAAGGGGTTTGGCACAAACAAGGCAAATGTAGGAACCACAACAAATTTTGGTTATGGGTGTCATTCCCTGTAATGGTTTCCTCAGGAATTTGTGAACTGTATATGTTGCAATCATCTCGTACATATATAATCTGATAATCTGTCATTTCTTGCTGCTTTCCCTATTAGGTTGGAGGCCATCGTTATTAGGTTGGAGGCCATCGCCTGAAGTTAACATATTCCAATGGTTGGCTTTTTCGACTGTCACCAAGCAACTTTCCGGACCTTTTCGATGCACTCGGCAGCTCTTCGCCAGAAAAGCCATGAGGCAGAGTTCTTCGCTAATTGCTCACTCTCCTCCAACACACTCTGGCCAGGTAGGGAAGGTCAGGAGCATTCAAAACATGTCAGGACGGGGTGGACTGTGGAAACCGACCGCGGTACTCTCTGAGCTTGGAATATCTATCACTCAGGCTCGAGTCAGGGACCAGGCCTTTGAGGGTTCCACACGAAATGACACCCAAATCTTGGCAGTTGAACCCCCTCAGTTTCTCTGGAAAATAGAGGTTAACCTTTTTTCACCTTGATTGTGGTGGCGTTCGTGGGACCCAATCCCTCAAAAAGTCTGGGCAGGATATTAACTCTTCCGGGGTGGGTATATATTAGTCTAACCAGCTCCCCACGATAAGGTCAGGTCGTTTTGATGTCCCACTGCTTCGTTCTCCTTTGCTCGCAAGGCTTGCACCAAATCGGCATTCCATGCTTTCAGAGGCATCGCTGATCGCTGACCCAAGTTAGAGCTATATGACAAGCTGTTCTTCAGTCAGGCTAAAAAATGCTTGCAATACGTTAAAGAACCATATGCCATATGTACATGTTCTTAAATGGCAATATGTCCAGGTGAACTAAGTCCTCTGCTGTTCAGTTCTTTGCCTTATCACCACAGTGATTGCACCACAAAGACCAATGACTCAAGCATGATCACATCGATGAAATGGAACAGTTGTTGAATCATTTTCAGATAAAGGTTCATTAAAAAAAAAAACTTAAAAAAAAAAAAACACACATCTTCCAAATATCTTACGAGCCATATTTCTGCAGTCACACGCCTGCTCTTTCGACCATTCGCCATACACAGCTCCAATCGCACGTGCACCCACTGAGTAGACAGTTTATGTGCTTGTGCATTAACTTAAATCTTCACACATTCCACATGCTAGGGCATTTCGACAAAAGGGGTTGCAAAATCACAAATACATCTTGCCTGTATACTTGGAGTGTGCGCCACTCCAAAGATCGGCTCTCTGACTTTGTAGACGGTCTCAAGTGAAGCACCACGCTCGTGCAAACATTCACCAACTAGTGCCAAATAGGCCATAACGGCTATTTGGCTCAAGAGCTTATGGAAAGATGCACAACGGCTCCACCTTTCCCAAAGGCCTCTTAAAGGTTTCTGATGAGTCCTGCCTAGCCGATCCGGGGACGAGGATGCCGAAGTTGGCACTGTTGATATCAGGAACCCCACGAGGACGTGAAAAAGAAGTGCAGGATTTTGGTGTACTCCGCACCTCAAAATGTCCAGGATGTCTGCTTTCCTGGATGAACAGTTCTGAGAACCAACAAGAAAAAATGGAAGCCAATGATATCCATGATATCTACTGTTCGCACTATATCATGTCTGCCTTGCCTACTCTTGGGATATGTATAAGCTTTGCCTCTAACCTCTCATGACTACTAAGCTCGTTGGCAAACTGCCGCAGCTGAGTCAAGTCACCAAACCATCAATACCCCACAAAAGTGCAGCATGAAGCATCACACAGATCGGACAAGAAGCCCGTATTAGCAAAGCTACAGCAGAACTGTTGATTCGCTAAGGGGCGTTGTTTGCTGAACCATCATGGTATTAATGTAGTCCTCAGATTAATAAAGACCCCTAGAATTATGTCTTTTTTTTCCCTGCACTGATTAATAAAGGCCCCTAGAATAATGTCTTTTTTTTTGGAGGGGTAGTTGTAGTGGATTTTTTTTAATTGTCATAGTTTACTTTTTCCCTTTTGAATTTGCTGGGATTTGCTTATCTTACAGGCTTTTGGATTGAGATTTCTATCAAACATTTGGAGATTTCCATTGAGATTTGATTCTTTTGGAGGCTTTTGGATGGAGATTTCTATTGAAAATTTGGAGATT